GGGGGAAGGGAATGAGGTGGGAAAGGGAGAGGGAACAAGAGGAGGGTAATAAGACTGACCAAAGACAGCAGGGCAGAGTGAACTTGTGAAACAGAAATGAGAGATATAAAGAAGAAATGACAATGAGAGGCTAAAAGAGTCCTTGGGAAAGGGGATGAAGAATGGCTTCTGTGAATAAGAGGCAAGAATGAAATGAAGAAAGGGATTCAGGCCATACCTTGGGCAAAGCATATTTCGGAAGCTTCATCTGGGCAAAGGCGTTCCTTTGGTAGGACACGTAGTAATGTGGCCGCCCTCCTGATGTCAGCTGGATCATAAAAACGAGACTGTGAGAGGAGCTACTATAACAGGTACATGTCACAGAGCAGCCACCTGAATGGAAAAAAGTAGCTTCCAACACAACCAACGGCATTAATGTCTATTGCGGACAAGCATAAAGACTGGCATTCAGTTCACACAACTTATAGAGTACGTGAGCTACTCAGAGGCCCAAACTGAACGACTGGACAAAAACTCAATTCTTAAATTTGCACTGTGGCTCAGATGCCAGAACACATTTTGAGTTATTTTTTTCAAATGATAGTAACCTTGGGGTACACTGGCTCATTGCCATCACTGGCTCATTGCCATCACCGGCCCAGGTCTCTGGATCCAAGTCCATGACCCTATGAGCAGGTGCCTGTGCCGTATCAGAAGGAAATGGCCCAGGTCAAACAGTGGCAGAGCTGGAGCTTCACATCTCTGGGCACTGAATTCCAGTGTGATGGTGTTACATTGATGATTATGGGCATATGGCCCAGACAGGAATGCTGGCACATCAGACAGAAAACCAGGCTAGGACTATTGTCCAAATTCACTCTAGGTCTCTTCTATTTTATTATTATTATTATTATTATTATTTTTAGACGAAGTTTCCCTCTTGTTACCCAGGCTGGACTGCAATGGTGCCATTTCGGCTCACTGCAGCCTCCGCCTCCCAGGTTCAAACTATTTTACTGATTCAGCCTCCGAAGTATATGAGGAGATTACAGGCCCCTGCCACCATGCCCTGCTATTTTTTTTTTTTTTTTTTAGTAGAGACAGGGGGGTTTCACCATGTTGCCCAGGTTGGTTTTGAACTCCTGACCTCTGATGATCCACCTGCCTTGGCCTCCCAAAGTGCTGGGACTATAGGTGTGAGCCACCATAGCAGGCCTATTAAAAATCCTTTTAGAGACACGTCTCAGTCTATTGTCCAGGGATAGAGTGCAGTGGCATAATCATGGCTCACTACACCGTTCAACTCCCGGGCTCAAGTGATCCTCCTCAGTAACTGAGACTCCCAGCAGGTGCCGCCACAGCCAGCTGTCCTCCAATCTTGTCCAAAGCATGCAGCCCAATGAATCCTGGTGGGTGTGAGACAGGGCAGGAAGGGGTGTGGTCTCCACCTCAGCATAAGAACAACATGCAGGGCACAGTGTCAAGGGCACCACCACCATCTCTCTCTCTCCTTTGCAGCCACTCTTAACCCCCATAAATGCTTGGAGTTTGAATGGCAGCTGGAGTTTGCATACTCAGAATGTCAACAAATGTGAATGTTTATCACATTAGGAATGTGACTTGGAAAGTTATCGTCTTTGCCATCATGTGGCCAGATCACCTCTTAGGTCTAATGAGGGGTTACAGGATGTTCATGGTGGCATGGGTAAAGACCATATGAAATTCTAAATGCAGAATTGATTTGTAAGTCATAGATGTGGATCACGAACTGTTATTAGAAACCAGAAAAGGTTCCCGGGAGCAGCACTGATACAGAAATGGATTATAGACAGAACCCATGTGTAACTATTCAAATGTCACTTGACAACTTGATGCTGAAAATTTCAGACTATTAATTACTCATTTCCCTGAAGAATAAAGAAATGGGGAGTGTGTGTGTGTGTGTGTGTGTGTTTCTGTGTGTGTGTGAGATCATTTGTAAAACATTTTAAAAGTACACAGGCTGGTGGGCATCGAAACAAATTGCTTCCTCAAAGCATGTAATTAAGTATTCTAAATCATAATTTATTGTCCAAATGAATATAATACTGTCTAGAATGGGTCTCAATTGTAGTGAAATTTTATATATTTATATATATGTATAAGCTATTTAGCAATTGTCCCTTTGTCATTTTTAACATGGAAGGCAGTAACTGAATTTTCTAACACATTGCCCTAACAGGCTTAAATTTTCCTTGAATGCCGAAAAGCAGTGCAGCATATTTGCTTCTTTTCTTTGCGAACAACTCAGAAAACTTCAGCTTCTCACACTGTTCCCCACTCTCTCGGGGTGAAAACCTGGCTGAAGACATATGCTCTGAAGTGTCTTTATCCCAATCACAGTTGGTGCATGACCGTAAAAGCTGATTACTCTCCCCCTGGCCTCTGCCTCCCACTATCTCCAGCCACCCCACAGCTTCCCTTCCCATTCCTGCTTCTCCACTTTTAAGGTGGGTATTGGGGAGGGGGCCGATTGGCTGACCCCTCCCCAGATAGAAAGAGACTGACGTAGTTGTTCAGTCCCTTTGATAGCCGGGAGCTTCTTTGGAATGCTAGTGTAGGGGACAGATGGAACTGCGCATCATCCTGGAGACAATCTCACTATTCTATGTGGTGACTTCATGACCCCATGTTGATAAGATCCTCCGGACACAGCCCAAAGAAACTAATTACTATCCTGCTAGTACAGAAAATTCCCACACTCAGTAATTATCCTTTTGTTGAAAAGACAGTGACTTTCCACTCTCTCCCTCCCTCCTTCCCTCCCTCCCTTCCTCTCTTAGTGGAGGGTAAAGCAGGCAAAAGGAACTGCGATAGGGACGGAGACAAGGAAAAGAAATGTTTTTGAGACGTTCAGCAGAAGTGGATCTTTCATACCTGAACAAACACGTAATCATCCTGAACAATCAAAGAGTCTGGGTCAATGTAGCCCGGAAAAGGTTTATTTCTGTTGGCCTCTGTACAGTTCTGCATCCGGCAAGTTAGATAATGTGAATCTGAAAAAAAAAATATGGGGTTGAGGGGGATAGACAGTCAGAGCTTAGAGTCAGAATGGACATTTGCTATTTCCCTCACCATTTCCAATTCTTTAAACGAGCCTCTCGATCTTTGTTAAATACGTTATTGTCACTGCTATTGTTATTTAAATTATTACCATTATGTTTATTACTTACTTGCTCTCAGTATCACCTACATCACCTTCTGGTGCTTCCATCAAGTCTTGATATCCCGGAATACTACATTCTTGCTAACTATTCTTTTCTCCCCCAAACCCAAGTTAAAAGATTTTCCAAAACTGGCAATAATACTTTTGATTTCACAGTTAATTGTTTCCGTTAGTAGGTTTCACCTTCACACTTTGACCTCTGACAAATAGGAAAATACACACACATCTGATCATTCATCATCTAATGATAAAATGATGTTGTTATAAGTAGTAAGAGTCTAGGATAAGATAAGGGTTTCTCTTCTACAATTCACTAGAAGTAAAACAGAATTAGGAGGCGTTCCTTGAGCCAAGACTTTGCTTTTATTTTACAGTGGAGTCAACTGAAATCCTGGATCTCACCTGATGATAACCACAATATCAGTAATGACAACTCTTACACCTTTGGACTCTATCGCTGATAATATATTTTATCAGGGAGGCTATTCCTGTGTTTCGACTGTACTATCCTGGCCTCTGTCTAATCAGATCATCTTATTCCCTTACTTAAAGCTCCTTTTGACTGGGCACAGTGGCTTGCACGTGTAATCCCAGAACTTTGAGAGGCCGATGTGGGCAGGTCACGAGGTCAGGAGATTGAAACCATCCTGGCTAATGTGGTGAAACCCCATTTCTGCTAAAACTACAAAGTATCTGGGCATGGTGGCACACGCCTATAGTCCCAGCTACTCAGGAGGCTGAGGCAGGAAAATCGCTTCAACCTGGGAGGCGGAGGCTGCAGTGAGCCAAGATCATGCCACTGTACTCCAGCCGGAGCGACGGAGCAAGACTCCGTCTCAAAAAACAAAACAAAACAAAAAAACTCTTTTTACCTCATTGTATTTAGAATAAATTCAAACTCTCCACTATCCACCACACCAATCCTCCAACCTCCCAAACTTCCCACCACGCTAATCTTTTCTACTCTCTCTCTGATTCTTCTAATCCACCCTACTGTATGTTGAAGAAGTTGGCCAAATTTTCTACCACTTTAAAGACTCTCATTTGTATCCCTTCTGCCTAAAATTCTTCTCCCCAGGCTGTTCCCAAAGCAGGTTCTAGATTTCAGCTAGCTCACTGTTACATCCGAGGATCTTCCATGATTATTCTTTATCACACACCATCCTATTAGCTCTCTCTATGGAATTTATCGCAATATAAAACTGCCTTGTTCATTATTTCTTTCTTGCTGAACGCTGCACCCATTACAATGTAATCTCCATTAAGACAAATGCCTTTTTTGCTGTTGTTGCTATTACTTACTGCTGTGCACTCCAGATCCTAATACTGTTCCTGGCACATAGCAGGCAATAAATAAATATTTGTTGGAACATGCCACTTATTGAAATATATCCTTTTGAGTATAAAAAAAGTTATTTTACTTGTTTTTGATGCTTCATGAGTAGGTGGGTTTGATTTTCAGATATCAGAGGCTTATGCAGAAATCCACATTTAGAAATGAAAATATAAGAATATGATTATTTACAGGAAATGGATGTGGGCAATGGTATGTCGAGATAGCTAAGCTAGATACAAAGATTCACTAAAGACTTCACTTAAGAATATCAGGAAGGCAGAATTGTCCAGGACCACCTTTACCTAAGGAACTTGCGTGCACCTGTATTCTGCAAAGAGTACCACTAGGGGGCGGCATGCACTCTTGGTCCCTGTGACCAATGACCAATGGTTGCTGATAAACTCTCAGCAGATGATGGTAGAGACCCTTGCACACCATCTTCCTTCACCTGGCTGCCATTTCCAAAGATGGGAATAGCTGTCAAGTGCTTTAACCTGTCTAGTCCTAGTGAAACCACCTCCAAAATTAAAGAAAAGTCCCCTGTTCTTCCTTCCTCATCTCCTTTTTCAGGCATCCCTGTAATTTCATTTTAGAGCAGAACACAGGATCTTTTTCCTTAAAGACAGTTTCTAGGACCCATCCCTTTCCAGAACAATCCTCCCACTAGCACACAAAATCTTTACCTCACAATTTTACACTGCACCAGAAAGTTTTACAGATTTTAAGTGACTTCTCTTTTCCAAAATGTATCTTGGGGGTCATAGAAACAATGGAGATTTGTGACAATAAGAAGTAGGCTTGAATTCTGGGGTGATTATTTATTAGCTGTGTAGTTCATAGGAAATCCTTTCATATTCCTGAGTCTTGCTGTTATTGTAATACCAGGGGTTCTGTTTTGGTTCTTCTGCTCATCATACAAAAAGCCAATCACTGAGACAACAGGTATTGCTAAGAAAGAAGACTTTAATCAGGTGCCACAGCTGAGGAAATGGGAGATCAGTCTCAAATCCATATCCCTGACCAACTAAAATTAGAAGTTTATGTAGCAGGGAAGAAATATAACCATGTGTGGGAAAATAGGAATTAGAGAGGTGTAAGGAAGAAGAGCTGGTCAGCAGGAAGTGAGCAAGCTGTCAGGCAATCAGGATGGGTGAGAGGTCTAGTGTCTCACTGTCTAGATGCAATGATCTGGTAAGCTAGCATCCCAGTTCCTTGATGCTATCTGGGAGGCTTGATGGTTGGTTGCCTGAGAAAAGAACTCGGATAAGAACTTGGATAAAACAAATGTAACTTTCTCAAGTTTTAAGACTGGGAGGATCAATTTCTGCATTTATTCAAAAGAAAGCATAAACATCATGTTCTATGGGACAATTGGGCCAGTTTCGCTGCCTCCTTTGTCTATTAAAGGAGAATGTCAATATCAACTATCTTGTACTTTAGCTGTAAGAATTAAAATAACATGTATGCTAAATGTTTTGAAACTGAAACTCATACAAATGTTGTTATAATTAAGAATAATATTTCTGTTTTCTGCCTTGCTACCTTTTATAATGATAAGTTTTGGGAACACACTAGTCCTTAAATTTGGCTAGTTAAGCCAAATTTAAATATTCCAGTTACATTTCTGACTCAGGTACTCTTGGCAAGCTGCTGAACACCCATTCTTCTCTGCCTTATTGCTGAAAAGGCAATTCTGGATCTGTCAGATCATCTTTTCTCCATGTGACTCAGAAGTTCCCATATGCGAAGATGGATGTTGTCAGTCTAAACCCACTCAAGCCTTCCTTCTCTACTTAACATTGGTTGTTTTAGAAGAGGGAATTTAAACCGAATACTGTTACATGAGAAGTGAGGGGAGAACTTTTAAGAGGTGTCTGAGAGATATCAGAAGATACAGCAGAAGGTCTCCTGCCTCTGTAAACACTGTGTCTTAATGTGAATGGCTCTAGGCTTCTGGTTACCCAAAGAAGCCAATCTTACAGTCAAGCTTATAAAATGAGTATGACAACCAGATGGAAAGTACCCATTCCCTAATGACATAATTGAGCTGTTGACGGTACTGAATCTAAAGCTGCCCAACCTCTGTGCTTCTTGTTATGTGAGATAATGAACAAAAACAAGGGTTCAACACACTGGGAATTTGATTAGGAGGTCTTGAGCTTCAAATTACAAATACAATTTCCAACCAGAATTTCTAAGATCAACACCTAATGAGGACTTGAGGCATACACATTTCTCATTTTATTTGTATTAGTGTCTGACGGCTCTTTTCTTTTCCTTAAGACCTAAATCTCCTCTTCAAAGGTCCCTGTACAAACATAAGATGGAAAATATTAACACACCCTTTTCATGTTTTTAACTCATCTATACAGAAATTACTAATCTAAGGGATTTAGGGAGAAAATAAAGATAGAATCTAACATTTGTTGAGCATCTATGAGCCAGGCAGTCTGAAGCATGTTCATATAGATCTAGTACATTTATTCTTCACAACACTACAGAGTATACCAACTGATTTTGCAGATAAAGAGAATGAAGCTAAAAGAAATAGTGATTTGTAGAAATGGCAGTATGTGGTTGCAACGGGATTAGCCTGACTCCAACTTTGGTTTATTTCTACATACTATATTGCATGAAAAATCCCAGTGAGTTTAGGGTCAACTTTTGTTAAGTATACTTTGGCTTCTTTCTAAGAATCAAACAGATACCCCTAGATACAAAACAAGACCACCTTAATATTTTCGTGTGGTAATTTGCCAAAATGAATCAAGATACTTAAAAATGCAGGACCAGCCTGACCAACATAGTGAAACCCCATCTCTAATAAAAACACAAAATTAGCTGGGCGTGGTGGCATGTGCCACTAATCCCAGCTACTTGGGAGGCTGAGGCAGGAGAATCACTTGAACTCAAGAGGTCTCAGTGAGCTGGGATTGCAGCACTGCACTCCAGCCTGGCAACAAGAGCAAAACCCCAACCAAAAAAAAAAAAAGCTATTCTTTGACCTAGGATTTATTTCTGAGAATTCTAAGGAAAAAAAATCTAAGATCAATGCAAATATATGTATATTTTTAATTTTAAAATAAAAACACTTGGATATTTATAAGTGATATTTATAATAAAAAATTTTGGAAAAAATGAAATGGCCAATAGAAAAAGAACTTAATAAACTGTGGAACATTTAGAATTTGCTGCTAAGATCCTGCTTTTATGAGGAAATGCTTAATATATTTTGTATTATAGAAGTAGGTTACCAATTAGTAATCTTACACCAACGTTAATTTCCTAGCTTTGAAAAATATACCACGGTTACGTAAAATGTTAACATTAGAGGAAGCTGGGTATAAAGTACATGTATTCTGTACTATCTTGAGTAACTTTTCTGTGTATGTAAAATTATTCCAAAATAAAAGTTTTTAAAAAGTAGGTTACCAAAATATGTGCATTATGGACCTGCGTTTTTCTGCAAGATGTATATATAGATATCTATAAAT